AAAATTAACGAGCATTTTGACATCAGGAGACAATTGGTGGTATGCGAGTTTATATATAACATGTAAGTTTAAATAGTTACATTAATTACAAAAGAAAAATAAACTAGGCACTTGAATTGAGATTCCCCTTTTGAAAACGTTGATTTTCAAACAACTGTTAGGTAACCAAACAATATGTTAAGTCAAATTATCCATTTTTAGTATTATTTCTATCGGTAGCTTAAAATTTTGTATACTTAGTTTTTAATACTAGACTTAGGAGTTAGCATGGACATTCTTTGGGGCGCGGGGTGGGGCAAGGAGGGGATAAGAAACTGTACATATGTACATAAAAGGTTTTGAAATATGTAAAACATACATAGTTTAACGGAGGAAGATGTATCATCTGCAATTTATGAAGGTATTCTGCAAGCCTCACTTTGCAATACATTTTAAAATACAGCTGCCCCTATAAAAACTCATAAGAACGCAACTGGGAGTTAAGAAATTAAATTCAAAAAATATCCAGACAGGATACCTGGTTTAATCAATATAGTTTACTTCATGTAACTACTAACTCAGTTTAGTAATTATTAGTATAATACATATTTAAAGTAAAAAATACAATTTTCATCAGAAATAATTGATTTAAAGTTTAAACTATGATTTCTGAGATGTCTTAATTTACTTGAAACAGTTGTCACTTTGAAAATACTGATACTATCGAAAAATTACATTTTAAAAGTACCATTAGACTCTATAGTTAAGGCTGTCTTAAATACTTGAAAGATGAAACTTGTAGAAAACTATATTTTCAGTTAAAAGTTTAAAACGGTAACTAAAAATCAAAACATCATTATAAAACCAAAAAATGAATCCTTTTTCTAGGATTTAAAAGATTTATATATTTAAAAACATTTATTTATAAAAATATAACAGTATGTAAATAATCATTTGTAACAACATAATATCTTAACAATTTTTGATTAAGTCAAACTCCATTTAGAATGGGTTTTTGTAGGAAATGGTAAATTACTTTTAACCTTAAAAATATCTACTCTTGCAGCAACATACCCATTTTTTTTTTTCATCACAAGGGGAAAATGTCCAGATTTCCGTAGCAATAAGAGAAATAATAAGAGATAGCATCATCTACTATAGTGCTATTCAAATTTTAGGAATAAAATGTATGCCTTTATAAATATTTGAAGAAATGAATAAATATTTAAATTGATTTGTATACTGTACAGGCACATACAGTTATAAACAAAAATGTACTGTTTATTTATACAAACTATTAAAAAACTATTATTTTTAGTCCAATATAAAAATATCTTAATTCTTTAATGTGTCAATAGAATTGGAATTTGGTTTTAGGTACTTAATTATTTTATTTTTATATAATTATAAAAGATTTATATGCATCATAAATTCATAAATCCTTAAAATATGCATTTTACTACCATACAATTGATATTTATTATTTCTAAAATTATCGTTAAAAGCTAGAATAATATCAATAACTATTTAAAAAAATTAAAGTTTTAGATTTTCTACTAAAACTTAGCCAAAAGTTACTAAGCTAAAAATAAAAACAATGTGTATAAAATTAAAACAAAATTAAACAAATGTACAATAACAAAAACAAAAACATGCCTCTTCTGGCAATCGGCCATTTTTCTTCGCTTAAGATTTTACATGGTTGAAAGAAATTTACAATTATATTCTACCTACAGTAAAATGTATGGTATGGCATCGACATAATATTTTATATAAACAAGATTTATTTTATATTACCCCCTTTAATTCTATTTTATACAATTCTTATAACATGTGACAAGTACTGACAACTCATAAGTTTGTCAATTTAGTTTTCAATTTAGATACAATACAATAAACACAAATGCTTAGAAAACAACTAAAAAGTATAACTTAAGACATGAGATAATTTCTTCTCATTTCAATAAACACAGATCTACAATAACGGAGAAACAAATGGTTAATTGTTATCTAATAATAACATCATGATCCTAAGAAAAACGGTATAACAAGGTTATTTTTTTAACTTTTCAATAATATTCACTAACTCATTTAACCAAGAAAAAGAAAATAATAATATTACTTTAATCATAGTTTATAATTGTAAAATAACAAATATGCAAATTTCATAAGAAAGTTCACATGGAAAATGTAAGACTGGTAACCAAGTGTTAGGGACTTCTCACATTGCTCACCTTATAATACCAACTAATAAAATTATAAATTAAAATAATAATAATTTTTTTTTTAATTCTACTAAATAAATATTTCTGCTCTATTAACATACAAGTTTGATTCAAAAGTCCATACATAATATCTAAAATGAATATTTTAACATTTGAAAATATTTAAAAATCAATAAATACATTTTTTCACTTTTCTTAAAACATAAAATTCTTACTTATTTTTGACAACTGTATATAATTTTTTTTTAAATATATTTATCAAAAATGGCTTTTAGATACTGAGTAATTGTCTGAGAATCTTAAAAATCAATTCATACATCATTCTATAAAATATATATGTACCAGTTATAGATATCAATTTAAACTGTTTCGTGATAATATTTTTATATTATTTATATACGTCGAATTTGATAAAAGTAGAGCATTACAATAAATTATTATTGGTTTATAGGCAATTCGTTATGTGTCATGATACTATAATAGCATTAACTTTTATTTTTAATACCATACATCATTTTATATCAATAGCAGTTTCTATAATTATTCATTGAAAAGGTCATACCTACATAATATGCATAACTTACAATATAATCATTTATCACATCCCTAACAATGATAAATTCACATAAATAAAAAACATATTTTTAATAGGTATAGATAGTGGAATTATTATTTTTATAGTTTTAGATATCTTTACCATATCTATTAGTACAACTATAATTAAAAAATTAAGAAATATATTTTAATTAAAATGTGTACAAAATACTTTATTAAACACACAATTAATTACCAATATCGTAATTCATATTTTTTAAATGTTATTAACTAAGATAACAATTTATCATTAAAAGTTATAACAGTACTTATAAAGTACCTAATTAATTTAAAGTTAAGCTAAACTAAATATTGAGTAAAACCAATAACGTAAGTAACTCTTTATTTGATTTTATTATTGGCTATTGCACTAAATTATAAAATTAAAGCCAAAAATTAAGTAAAACAATAATACTAACATTATTAGTAATTAGGTAGGTACTACTTATTACTTCCAGAGACTATAGATTCTTTCATTTTTTTTAGAATTGTAAAGCAATTAGTTTTGTTATAAATTAATTGAATCTATTAATTTTAAGAAGTTACTTATTAAAAAGATTCCTAACTAGGTATCTAAATTACAATAAAATGAAATAGAATGTGATAATTTTATCACTTCAATTGAAATCTCCAAAATTTTATTTTTGTTTTTATACTGTTCAAATCGGTAAAATATTGTAGTTTTTTGAGTAATGCATCAATACAACTATGAAGTAGATAATAACAAAAATAGGTAGTATATTTGTTTGAAAGTATTTACATTTTTGAGCATGACAAAATAAATAATAATTATTACCCATATGTAATATACTACCTATGTTATGATATATTTGAGATTAATTTCTTAAAATTTAAATTGAAAAAAACATAACCATTTAAGATAAATACTTAAATATAGACTTTATGGATCATTTTGAATTATACATTTTTTTAATGTAGGTAGTACACTAGTACCCATTAAAAATAAATTGCCAGTTTACCTATACAATTATTAATCTGTTATTAAAAATAATAACTTAATTAATCAGTCAAAAATAAAGTACTTAAATAGTTCATCTTATATTATTAAGTACCTACCTACCTAGACAATTTTGTGATTAAACATTAAAGTCTAACAGTAATTTGAAATGAATGAAGCTAAAATTAAAATAAACAATATTATCATTAAATAATGATTAATAATCAGGAATTTAATCTTAATATAATTAAATCACATAATACCTCAATTGTGTCATAATATTTTAATGATTCTTTTATTACAGGTATCACATTAGGTATTTAATACTTGTTAAGTACCTAAAGTACCTTCCTATAATACCTATGCAATGAATTTATCCCAGAATTTATTTTAAATAATTTGGTGCCAGCTAATAATTTACATTATTTATAAATGTAAAAATTAAATCCATCACATATGCCGTCCCTTATAAAAAAATGTATACACATATAGATCCACTAAAATTTAAAGAACTAATAATTAGCCACTAAATCATGTTTAATGGACTATTTGCTCACTATTGCTTCATTAAATGAAAACTGATTGTCTATGCAACCACTGGCATCAGTATGGACCAACACAGAAAATTATTAATTAAAAATGTTAGCAAACTAACTATTAACAAGTTGTTCATACCTATTAAATTACCATAATACACAAGCCGGTAGCCACAAGAGATCTTAAAATTAAAAAAATCATATGTTATTTAACTAACATCCAAAAAATAAATACTAAGTAACCCACTAATAATAATTTACAAGTATTAGGTAGGTGCATAATTAGTATTATAATATGTAGGAGGTATTTTGTATTCTTCTAAAAACAAGTAAGTATAAGTAAATGTTTATGATTTATTTAAATTATACTTAAAAATATTGAAATTTTAACAAAGTGAGCTATGTAAAATAGAATCAAAGAATTTGATTGCATTAATAGTGCAAACAATAAATTAGCAATCAATAATATTGTCTTGTATTTAATTTTAGAAAGCACATCATAATATAACAAACAATAAGTCACCTCAAAAATAATTTAAAAACAGTAGGTAAAACAATACATTTGTACATTTCATAGTTAAAAAGCTGACATTTTTACAACCTTAAAGTGTGTAAGTAGGTCTATGAAATTATTAATATGTAAAAATACACATACATATATTATATACCTGGACAATGCATTTCAAACAGAATGTTTTGTGTTATTACCTGGGTACACAGTTGGATGGTGTGCGATCAACTTCCCAGGTGGCAAACAGTTTCATCGGTACCGGTCGAGGGCCGGTAGCCGGTGCCTTGACACATTTCTCGGCCATAGTCAGGGCGAACTATGGGTAGAAGTCTGAGCGACTGTTGGTCGGATGTCAGTCCTTGGTAGCTGTCTACACGACGGTATGGTGCACCATATGAACACGGCAAACGTGCGAGGAGATTCCCTATAGCGGGCGGCAGACGTCGTGGCGGTACATCAGGGTCTGGGGATGGACAGCGATGGTAGGTAGAAAAAATTGTTAACAAAACAATACGAAAAGAAGAGGAACGCTGACTACGTTTTTGAATGAAAAACAGACGAAGAGAATGGGAAAAACGCCGCCAATACTGCGAGAGCGAAATATCGGAACAGGACAGACGCGAAAGAGGTGGACGAAAACAAACGACAGACGAAAAGCTACGATATTATTATTTGTTGTTGTGCGTGGTGCCGGACGGCTGCAGGAAACGACGGGCGACCAACTGCTAATCACGCCGCACACATAATAAACACGGACCGACTCTCGCGTTATCAACAACACAGCGGCGGCGGCGGCGGCGGCGGCGGCTCAGCGGTAGCAGGCGCACGCACACGAACCAGCGCGAGTGTGAGCGTTTTATTAATCTTGGGCGGCGGCGGCCCGGCCGGTCGGCTGCAGCGCTACCCTCTCTCCTCTCGCCGCCTACGTCCAACCGCCTACGTACCGTCGCTGCCGCCGCCGCCAAGCCTTTTGCTGTTGCATCACCACCGCACCACACCACTCCAAAAACGACGACGCCGCCGCCGTCCCTTGTCGGGTTTTGCTTCCCGGCCGTCGGTCCGTTGACCGTTACCCGTATCCCGAAAGACCGAACAGTGGCGGCGATGACGGTGTTTTAATAAGGGGCGGGTCGCCGTCGTCATGTTGAATGGGAAGGGGGTGGGGAAAAGCGAGTACTCGACTCACCTCACTGCCTGACCGACCGGCGACAGGATTGTCGGGGATAACAAGTAACAACCGAACTCTACACACACTCACTCACACACACACGCACACACACATACGGTTTCCGTCGTCAACGACGACAAACGGACAAAGACTTGAGACGACGGCGACGGTAGGTAATAACAAATAACAATAATAATATTCATGAATGAATGCACATCGGCACCATCTTCGACATTCATAGATCCAGACTTTGGTAAAATGCTTGAATACTCGAATACTTATGAAAAATAGTATTTGGAATATTATGTACCTAATCGAATACTTCGTAAAAATAGTGTTTCAAATAAAGTATTTCAAAATTCAAATATGTACTTTCAAAATACTTCTTAGTTTTTCTTTTAAATATTAACCACAATTTTATGGTATGATACTTTTTTACGAAAAAAAGTGAAATTAGCTCCAACACAATAATATATAATTTAACGATTCTAAGTTTAATATAATTTATGTTGTTGATAGGTACTTGATTTAAATTTGTAAAAATGTCTAGGTATATTTTACAATTTTTAGAAAAACAAAAAACAGTTGTTATTATGAATAAAAAGTATTATTATAATTTATAGGTATAAAATACCTACTCTGAAAAAATATTCTAAATAGTTATTCAGAATACTTTTAGACAGAGTATTTTTAAAGTATTTGGAAATACTATGTTCGGAATACTACCCAAGACTGCATGAATACGGATCGGATGTGTGTGTGTGTATTATTATAATATAATTGTATACCCACTATATTATTATAATACGAGTACGGAATACTGACTACTGAGTAGTCGGATAATCAAGTTAGCGAGACGTTTTTTTCAATAATAAATAATAATAATATAGCATGACTGCATATACTCGAATAATACTTACAATGTGTGTCTTGGGGTTGTACATTAGATAATATTATAAATGATAATATATAACCTCTAAATATCGCATACTCTAGGTCGTGGACATTTTGTCCGTTCTTTAGAGGGTTCAGATTGTAGAAAGTTTGTAATTGGTTCTCAAGAAAATATCCGCTATCTGGATTTTTTAAGTTTCATTGTATGCAATATTATAGTTACATCACACACCTCAGTGATGGATTTGGATTTTCCCATTTAGAGGGAGAGGAGTGTACGGTTTTAGTTTATTTTTACAAATCAAAACCTAATTTTCTTGACGAGCGTGCCATTTTTTTATACGATGATCCTCATATCCCCTCACCCCGCAGATCCACCACTGCTACTACACCGATATACGATGTAGGCACCAGGTAGCACGAGGCACCTACTACAAGTGGAACAAAAAACGTATTTTTTATGCATAATAATAGAGAACCAAATTCGATTTATATGTTTGATGTGCGATGCATGCTATAACAATATAATGTTATGATAATGGTATTTCGTTATTACTTATTTTGTAACTGCGGATGACGACGAGGGAGTGTGAAACGCCTGTGACCGGCTGCGGCGTGTGCGCACGTTGTGGAATAATCATCGGAATTATTATATTATTATACGTATTATGTATTATAATACTGTTATACCTACACAACATAGCTGCATTGATGGGAGACTGGCTTGTTGCTGTTTCATATATTCATAATATATTTTCATACCCATATATATATATAACCTATATGCTCGGCAGTGGCGTAGTGCCACCGCACTATATTATTATGTATATATAGGTACATCGTACATGCATATACGCGTAGTATTATAGTATTGTATACTGACTACTGAGTATTAAATATTTATATAATATAAACATTAAACGCGTATAATATCTATATACCGGTAGGATTTTCGGGATTAGGATGTTTATTGTTTAATATAACAGAAAGGAAACGAATGGTTATGGCAGTAATAAAATAATACTATGTACAAGGTGAATTCATAATAATAATAGTATGGTAGCTAGTTGGTATATAATATAATATATTTTTGAACCGAAAATTTGAACAAGTCGGTAGGTATGTATATGAACTTCAAATGTTTTAAGCCTGCGTTTTTTACACCCAATTTAAATTCCAATTTTGGAATTTATAAAATGTTTGTTTGAAAAACACATTTTTATTGTACTTGAATTATTGCCATTGTTAATGCGGCGAACATATTATTACACAATTATTAAGTGGCATATATGGGTCGACGCCCTTCACGAGAATTGACAATGTACCCAGGCTGGGAATGAACGAGTTAATTACATTTTTTTACTTACTAGTTATTTTTGTTCTTTTATTAACTTGAGTTAATATTGAACATATATTAACTTTTAAATTTTAATACAAGACAAAATGATTTTAAATTTAATTCCAGCTAAGTTTAATAGCGAACTATCGTGGACCGTGGTACTTGTTTATGTTGACAATGTTTAGTGTTGACACTTTGGAAGAATTTGTCACCTTGAGTGACACAGCTGTCCAGTAGGTAAAATTATGTGCAATACATTTATCTTAACAAAGTTATTTCAAACATTTAATTCACTTTTAAGTCTGAAATACTTTAAAGTTATAACAAGTTCAATTATTTTAAACTATATATAACTTGCACGAGTTGAAACTTAAAATGTTTATTCTATGTGTTCGGTGTAGACCTATGCACATTGTCAATAAACTTAACAAAATACAATTATATATTTATACTCGTACCTATATATATACATCATATATGTAGTAGGTACCCCTACCCATTGACGATGGGACTATGATCTATAGACTATAATATTATATAATCCCTATGAATATATATCATATACGTTTATCAAATACATAAACATTAATTGTACCTTTTAAGCCTTATGCGATTAAAGAAAAAAAAATGAATTGAAACTCAACCTACGCCCTTTTTGCTTCGATTTTTCCAAAATGCTATTAATATTTATTACAGTTTTTTTGTATTACAACTTTTCACATAGACTATAATATTGATTTTGTTATTAAACCGAATTAAATATTAACGCTCGGCCAGTAACTAGTAAGTAATGCAGTATAACATATATTAACATTTATTTCTGAGTAATAAATTATAAGAAATTAAAAACACTTAGTAAATACATGGACAACGGAAACAAGTTATTTATGTTTTAGTGCAGGGGCGTATTTAAGGGGGCAAAAGGGGCCCGTATCCTCCCCGATTGGCTATATTTATACACTGCACTAACAGACCACATGTGTTATTATTGTCTCATTCTTACATACGTACAGCAAATGTACGCGTTCAGAAGAACTAATCTTAGGATAATTGACCTATCATCAAATTTTTAAGTAAGAATATGATCTGTTTTTATGGCCGACTTTTTACGGTATTTAAATTTTTAACTGAGATATTGGTGTCAGAGGAGGTATGTGAAATATAATGATTTAAAAATTCTCATTTCTCGATTTATTATTTCTAAATACGTCCCTGTCTTAGTGAATGTTGTATACTTTAATACTTGTACATATTAAACACAGCTGTCATCATAAACTTAATATTGTTAAAATTTAAAAATTTGAGCAAATTAAGTACTAAAGTCATTTGTTTAGCAGAGTCAGATAAGATATCTTATGATTTATGTATTGCATTTAAGTATATAATAGGTCAAGTTTGATAAAACTCTACTGTCTATCTTATAACTATTATTAGATAAATATAATGTCACTAAAAACTATATAAAGTTAATTTATAACTGTGCACAATTGACCAATAACACAATTCATATTCGTCTAAAATGTATATTACATTATTACTAATAAGAAATACAAGTATTAACACCAATAAAAATGTACATATATTATGGTTTTTTTAATTTGTGGTTTATAAATTAATTACTTTAGGTTTTAAAATGAAATGTATGAAAATATCGATTGTTATTTTAATACACCAAATTAACATACGAATATATGACTATGTATGAGAATAAATCGTCTATACTCTATACTTATTATTTAAAATATTTATGAGAGCAGCTGAAGCATCAAACAGAATAATGTACAAAAAGCATAGACTCATTATATATTTAAATAGTTATTTATGAAAAACTACCTATTCGTTCAATATTCGACATTTACAAATTAAAAAGGGGAGGTAGACAACCGCTATGCTGTACAGTGTACAGTATAATATAAACTGAGTGTTCACACATAGGTCTCGAGTGTACATCATCTTAGAGTAAATCACCGTAGGTACCTAATGTATCCATGTTAAATTTAAATTCAATGATAGATTATCGGATACGAAACACGATCCTCGGAGAAAGCGGTATGTTAGTGTCAGCCTATATAACGATCGAAGTATATTTAATGATATATTTGTATTTGTATATTATATAGTAATTGATTTTACAATAATTAGTATAGTAATACGATAGGCATATTGAATTATTTTTCCCGAAAACATTTTCAATTATTTTAGTATCAAATATTAATATTTAATTATTATAGTAAAGTTAGCTACTTAATTATATTTACATAATATATTATTGTTTTTAACTTTTGAGTCAATGGTGACTCACAGTAGAATGATGTGGATAGGTTCGTATTGTAGATAGGCAATAGCTATTAATAATAATATAAATGTTTTGAAAATTTCACAG